GAGCGCCAGCGCAAAAACTGCACCGGTTGGGCGTTGTGAGCACCCGGAAGTTCTTGTACCGGTTCAGATCGAACGCGCGCACCGTGCCGTCGAGCGAGCAGCTCACGACCGCTTGGCCGTTGGCGGTGAACGCGACACCCGTCACCGGGGCTTGGTGCTCGTGGAACGTCACGTAGCAAAAGCCCGACGTCGTGTCCCAGAGCTTGAGCTTGGCGTCGTCGGCGCCGGTGGCGAGGAGCCGGCCGTCCGGTGAGTACGCGAGCGCGTTCAAGTCGAAAAAGTGGCCTTGCTGCTTGAGCACATACGTCTCCGACTTCCACTCCCACACGAGGAGCTGGCCGAGCGTCTGCGACGCGAGCGCGAGCCACTCACCCGACGCGTTGATCGCGACCGAGCTCAGTCGGTGCTGCGTCACGCTGAGTGTGTGGATGTCGGCAAAGTCGGGCAGTGAGTAGAGGCCAAACGTGCCGTTGCCAAACCCGACCGTGAGGAGGCTCGACGCCGCGTGGAACGCGACGCAGTCGATCTTGGCGTACTCCATCTTGAAGACGTGCTTGTGCTTGGTCGACCACTTGACGCCGCGGGCGAGGATCGGCGTCTCGTCGTCGTCGTCCAAATCGTCGTCCATGTCGTCGTAGTTGTGTTCCCAGCGGTACGCGCCGCCGTCGCGGCCGATCGTGTAGACGCTCGAGCCATCCTCGGAGAAGAAGGCACCCATGACCACGTCGCGATGGCCGACAAACGAGTAGGGCGTGAACGTCGGGTACGGCGTGATCGACCAGAGACGCACCGAGAGGTCCTTAGCCGTCGAGAGGAAGAACTTGGAGTCGGGCGACCACTCGACCGATAGCACGTCGCCGTGGTGGCCGCCGTACGTACGGTGGTGCACGAAGGGCGCAAACTCGCGCTTGAGACCTGGCGCCTTCCACACCTGGATCTTGGCGCCATGGGTGACCGCAATGAACTTGTCGTCCGGGCTAAAGCGTAGCGCGCGGACGGGCGCCTTGAAGTTGAAGCGGTACAAGACAATGCCCTTCTTGAGGTTCACGAGCAGCGAGTGGCCATCTAGCCATGGCATCCATCGATATATCCTCATGGCCACGATAGGATGGTGATGCTACCTTCGTCGACCGCAATCAAGAGGCGCGAGTCGTGCGAGACGGCCATGGCATGCACGTTGGACCGACTCTCGAACGCAAAGGTGCGCGACGAGTTGCTACAGCATACGATGAGGCGAATGCGCCTCGTCGTGGCAGAGAGGGCGGTACTTGATGAGGTCGAACATGGTGATGCGGTTGCCGACGGGACTCAAGAGCGCATTGCCGTCGGGCGTGAAGACGACATTGCCTTGCGTGTACACGGTGCCACAGAGGTGGCTAAACTACTCGGACGCCATGAGATGCGTCGACCATCGGCGCGTCTACCTCGTACGCGAACTTCATGCTTTTGGATTTCGGGCAATGCGACCCAACCAATCATAGCGTACGACTCCACACCAACAAATTTCCTCGAGTTTTAACCAATCAGGAGCGAGAGCCACCGATCCAGAAGGTCTCCCACACACACATGTGCATGCTCCACGTCTCGTCCTTGGCGTCGATCGAGCCTGGACGCGGCACGAGACGAAAGAGACTAAGGAGTAGTATTGTCTTGGGTGGATATCGACACTAGGAATCGATAACGGACTCGAACCCGCGACGCAGGTGCACACAGAGCACTTGATATTTTGAGGGGGGATAACTTTCACGCGCCATCAAGGTACATTTGTACCGGTAGGGCCTTTGGTGCTCGTCGCACGACCTAGAAGCATCCTCGACGGACATTGAAAGCTGTGGCAAGACGACGTTGGGTGTGCATTTGGTGTCCTGCGTGGCCTTTTCGAGGGGCTGTTGAAGCTGCCATGACGAGCATGTGAAAGATTCTCATCAACGTCGACATTCAGAGATGCGCAGCAGCGGTGCCACTCGATCGCTCGTCGCTGCAACGGCCGAGTGTTGCGAGATGGAGGCGTCGCGTCTTGGACCTTGAACTTGCCGCCAAGGGCGATAGATTCAAGTTCCCCGGCAAGTACG